AACATAAAAAATGGCGCTCGATCGCTGACACTTATTTCTTAATCTCGACTCTTCTTCTCTCTTCCTTCTTATTTTGTCTTCAATCCACTCTCCTTTCTTCTCGACTCTCTTCTTCACATCTTTCCCTGTCGGAGAATGAGACTTGGGGTGAGAAGAAGATGTCTTAAAACTATCGCTTGAATTTTCAGAAGAGTTTTTAGATGTAGAAGGGGAAGAGGATTGAGAAGCTGTGTTAGACTGAGAGGCGGTTTTCAAAGAGGTTATTTCTTTTAAAAGTTCATCCTTTTCTTTTTCTAAAATCTGTTTTTCTTTTTCAAAAGAATCTTTTAACTCAGCAAACTTTCTCACCAATGGTGGAATGTAAGCTGGTTTCTCAATTGGTTCAGATGTGGAAGCCTCCTCTCCGTCTTTCTCAGCTTCCTTTTCAGGAGGATAGGTCAAGATTTCTTCAGCAGGGGTCAAAGGGAGTGCTTTGGTTTTGTAGCTCTTGTTTAACTCTGTGTAGTCAAAAGGAACCTCAACACCAGCCTTTGTCTTTCTCTTTTCATCCTCAAGGGCATTCGTTTCTTCAGTACCAGTGAAGGCCATGAGTTTGGTCAATCCTATTTTCATGTATCTAACATCATAGAGTTGTTTACAGTTGACCTTTTTCAGGTTCTGAGGATTGGTCAAACCCAAGCCTTCTTTGGCGTTATAGAAACGAGTGTCCTTAGGCTGGTTAAGGAAAATAGTCTGATCTGTTTGGTCCCTTTTGGCTAACAGATCCTCAAGTTCTTTGATTTTAGTATAAAGAGCACCCCTTCTTTCCATTAGCAAATTATTGACACCAAAAAGCCTAATTCTTTCTTTTTCAGTTGTTCTAAGCTTTTCTGTCAACTCTTTCTCACTAGCACTAAGTCGCTTATTCTCAGTTGTGAGTTTAGTGATTGTTTTCTCTGAATTGATTATCTTAATGTTTGAGCATGTCTGTTTTTCACGCAGTTGGTTATACACCTCATACAACCGTTTGTAATTCACCTCTAGCTCCTTAAATTTATCATGCATATCTGTTCTAGAGCAGTTATGAATAGATGAATTAGAGGTACTTACTTCGTTGTCAGCATTTCTGTTCTCAGCAGTCAGGGCAGTTGCTGCATCAGCATTGGTTGCAGTAGGCAGGTTCTTCTTCTCCTCAGCTTTGTCTTTCTCCTTCTTTTCCTCAGCAGCAGGGGTTGACTTCATCTTTCCTTCCTTCTCAGCATCTTTCTCTTTCTCCTCTTCTTCAACAACTGCCATCAAGGCCATATTCTCTTCTTCGTCAGAGTCATCCATCCAGTGATCTTTTTCAGCCATGAGGGCACTCTTCTCAGTACTTTCTTCCATTGCCAGCAACATCTTCTTCTTGTTCAGATTCATTTTCTGCTTATAGTATTCAGCATCCTTCCTCCTCTTTTGCCATCTGCAGTCCTTCATTAGATGTCCAGTCTTCCCACAATTGAAGCACTTCGGAGCATCCTCAGCAATACCATTCTCAGACGATTCAAAAGATCGCTCTTTTCTTTTGTTGTTGCTGGTAGAGGACTTGCGGAGCTTGTTGTTAGAAGAGTTCTTCTTTTTCTGCATTTGATTGTTGAACCTGGAGGTAAGAAGGGCTATCTGCTTCTGGAAGTCACGAAGCTCATCATCATCAGAATCATCCCAAAATCCGATGTCACTGTCAGCACTTTCACTTTCATCAGCTATCATCTTATCTTTCTTGGAACCAGACTTCGATGGCTTGTCAAGCATCAGGGCAAGGGTGTCAGCTAGCTTGTCCACCGCTCCCTTTCCTTTATCAGCCGTCACAGTGGCTACCACAAAATCGGAGAAATCTTCAGCATATTGGTCAAGTGTGTTGTACACTGCATGAATGTCCATTTCATCAAGGTCTTTCGTGTGCCTTATCTGTGAGCTCAGCTTCTTCCAGTCAGCTCCAAGAGAAGATAGAAATCTCACGTTCAGTTCCATATTGGACTTATGCACGCCAATCTTTCTCATCTCATTTATCAATTGCAGAAATCTCAGGTAGGTGTCTTCGAGTGATTCTCCAAGCTTGGCTTTGAATGAGTCATAAGCAGTGAATGTGCTAGCTTTCTTCGCTTTTACTCCGATCTCAGTGCCTTGCATGATCTTGAAGATCTCATCCCACATCTCTTTTGCAGTTGACATGCTGTCAATCTGCATATAGATGTCGTTCGGGATGGCCTGCAACAGATAGGTCTTGGCAATGAGATCTGCCCGGAGTCTTGCTCTATCCTCATCATCATATTCATCTACCGTCTTTGGTCTCCATTCAATCTCCACTGGTGGGTTGTTTCCGTTATCTCTCTCAACAGCTATCATCAATTGAGCGGGTCCATTGGTGATAGAGTCAAGAAGACCTGAGGATTGGTCCTTGCTCTCAAGAAAGTTCAAGAATCTGTTCTTCCATACGTTGTACTCACCCCTTCGCAGGATTGGGGGTCTTGTATCATTTCCAATTGATAATGCGTCCATGTTAAAATTGATCGGGCTGATCAGTTGATTGATTTGATTTTGTCTTGTTGGTTTCAGTACTTTGAGCAGAAGGTTCTTGTTCAGAAAAGTTGTAAGTGTGAGATTGCGCAGGTGTTGGAAGATTGCTCAACTTCACAAAAGATTGCTCAACTTTACAAAGGATCGCTCAACCTTACAAGGATCGCTCAACTTTATAAAGATCGCTCAACTTTTATAAAGATCGCTCAACTCTTTTGAAAAGATCGCTCAACTTACTAAAAGGATCTCTCAACTTGTAAAAAGATTGCTCAACTTCAAGGATCGCTCAACTTAGCAAACAATCTCTCAACTTGCTAAAAGATCTCTCAACTACCAATTAAAGATCGCTCAATTACAAAAAAATCTCTCAAGTGTAAAGATGGCGCAACTTCACAAATCGCGCAAGGGAGTTAGCGTGAAGTTGAAATCGCGCAGGGTGAGGATCGCTCAAGTCTCGATTTCGCGCAAGAATGTCTTGCGCTAAGTGCCAAATCGCGCAGGAGTCCAAAAAATTGCTCAACTCTAAATCGCTCAACCTATATTGCGTGAAGATGAAATCGCGCAGGAGGTTTTGAAGATGGCGCAAGAGTGAGATCACGCAAGTATTGTTGCGCGAAGCTCGAAATCGCTCAGATGTTCAGTTGCGCGAACCTGTTCTTCTTTTTCAGCGAGTTGCGCGAAAATGCAGGATCGCTCAAATCTGGCTGAACCTGTACGCCAAATTTCAGATCGAGATTTTTCGCAGAAATGATCCTAGCAACAGTAGAAACCTTTTCCTTCAGCCATTTTCCTGTAAAAACAACAACAAAAGTAGAACCAGAAATCGCTCAAGTGCGAAACTTCATCGATGAAGAATCGCGCAGGAGTGATTTTCAGCCTTCAATCGATCGATCAGCTCCGGCTCTGATACCAGATGTTAGGTCCCTGTTTTCTAGTCTATAAAATGTATGTATGGAAGATAGATCTGGGAATGAAGCTTTCCATTGATGGTGAAGGTTTTACAGAATGATATGAAAGTTAGCGTAAAAACCTTACACGCAAATAGGCACTGCGGCACAGAGAATGTATTGAAAAGCTTAACCTAGCCTTTCCCTTAAGGCATATATATAGCCTGACGGGAAAGGTAGGTTTTACAATTATTTGGGCTCCTTTTCCTAGGAGGCCCATACCTAAAAAGGTATAAAACCTTTATTACAAAATTGCCTTAAAAGGCCTATTCATTATTCTAGCTAACTATAAACTAGCAAGGTAACATTGATCACAATTACAATGAAAATATCTCTAACAACTACATCCTTTTTAAGTGCGAGAAAACACACATCAGAGAGCTAGGGATTATATCCTTAACAAATGTTGAAAAGGCATTCACATTAAAATAATTATGGTGGAAATGGAAAAATAATACTTCCCTTGGGTCTGAATTTTTAAAAGCAAAATATCCCAGGGGGATAATCTCAGGCCTAAAACTTTTGATTCACCTAATTGGATGAGACTTTGTGCTATTGATGAGGTGGCTAATGGTTTATGTGATAGTGGTCTTGATGGAGGCATGTAATGGATTCCTGGGAAGGGAACACATTTCACTCTCAATTCTGCTTACAATGAAATAAGGAAGAGTATCTACATTTTTTTTAAAACACATTTGGAACAAATATCAACATATGCACGTAATGGTATTTCTTTGGATGCTTATCCAAAAATTATTTCAAATACTGATAAACTGCAGAGGTTTCAACCGGTTCTTAGGCCCTCAAGATGTCCTCTATGTAAAGAGCAGTATGATACTACCAATCATCTTTTCTATCAATTCTCTTATGCAAGGAAGGTGTGGGATTACTTCATGGGGCTGTTAAATATTCTGTTTCCAGGGAATAATACTTCTATTAGACAAGTACTCCCTCCATTTTCAAAAGAAAGTCACAGTTTGACTTCACAGTTATTAAGGAAATAAATTGACTTTACTGTACACTTACACTGTTTAGATACTGTTTGACACTGTTTGGACACTGTTTGACATTGTTTTGAAATAGATTTCTTTGCTAAATAAGGAAATAATTAGGGAAGTGTGACTTTGTTTTTGAAACATCCAAAAAAGGAAAATGTGATTTTGATTGCGAAACGGAGGGAGTATTAATAATGTGGTGGTTGGAGGCTGGTCAAAAACATTTGCAGATATCTTCAAACATAAACTCCCGGGTATTATTTGTTGGCATATATGGAAAGTGTATTCTTCCCATGAATACTTGGGGATCTGAATCTATCCCTACACCTGACCAGCTAATCATTCGAATTAATACTAAACTTAGGGTTGGTCGTCAAATTTTTCAAAGAATAAAGTCAGGAGGATTGAGGGATCGGATAAGGAAAATGTTATGTGTACACGCCGGTTTACACGGCGGTGTACACATCTTAAAAAGCCCCACCCCCTCTTTCTAACCCACCCAACTTTTGAATTAATCCTCCCCACTTCCCTCCCACTCCCCTCTTTCCTCTCCCTCCCTGCGCCCAAATTCCCTCTCCTTCTCTTCCTCTTTTCTTTTTTCTTCTCTCCCTCCCTGCACCCAACTTCCTTCTCCCTCTTTTCCTCTTTTCTTTTTTCTTTTCTCCCCCTCCCTGCACCCAACATTCTTCAGCCTCTTTTCCTCCTTCCTTCTCCCTCGTAAATAACTCCTCTCCCTTTCTCCATCTTTTTTCTTTTCTTGTTTTCTTCATTTCAAAAGCTCTCACTTTTTTGCAGATCTGAATCCGTACAGAAAAACAAGAGGAGTCACAATTGAATCTACTTTGCTCTCTCAAATATTATTCATGAGGTAATACTTTATTTCATATTTTTTTTGCATCTAGGGTTATATTTTTTCCTTTTTTTAATTTTATTTATACAAAATATGTTGTGGTGATGTTGATGAATGTTTATTACAATATAATATTAGTATCGATTTGTTATAATTTAAAATTTTATTCAACCATTATAGCTCACTTTTATGCCTATTAAGTGTTTGTTGAAATGTTTCAATGAGATGTAACTATGTATAATTGATTTTTAGCTTTAATTCAGTTTATGGTTTTACTGAGATGTCTGTGTAGTGTGTTGTTATATGTCTGTGCATATTTTAGTTGTCTGTGCATTTTACCTGAGACGTCTGTGTAGTTTGTTGTTATACGTTTGTGGATTTTATAGTTATCTTTATGGTTTTCCTGAGACGTCTGTGTAGTGTGTTGTTATATGTTTATGCATTTTTTAGTTGTCTGTGCGTTTTACCTGAGACGTGTGTGTAGTTTGTTGTTATACGTTTGTGGATTTTATAGTTATCTTTATGATTTTCCTGAGACGTCTGTGTAGTGTGTTGTTATATGTTTATGCATTTTTTAGGTGTCTGTGCGTTTTACCTGAGAAGTCTGTGTATTTTGTTGTTATACGTTTGTGGATTTTATAGTTATCTTTATGGTTTTCCTGAGACGTCTGTGTAGTGTGTTGTTATATGTTTATGCATTTTTTAGTTGTCTGTGCGTTTTACCTGAGACGTCTGTGTAGTTTGTTGTTATACGTTTGTGGATTTTATAGTTATCTTTATGGTTTTCCTGAGACGTCTGTGTAGTGTGTTGTTATATGTTTATGCATTTTTTAGTTGTCTGTGCGTTTTACCTGAGACGTCTGTGTAGTTTGTTGTTATACGTTTGTGCTTTTTTGAAGTGTCTACACAGACAATATTTTTGAACGTTTTTGCAAATATGTTGTAAAATGTATGCAAATGAATGCAATTGGGTCTGTTCTTGTGCACGTTCTTTAGGCTTATATAACTTCAAATATAGCTTTATTATGTTTTTAGGCGGCACATATAAGCCTAAATGGATGCACATTCAGGTTTAATAGTTGTAATGATTTTTATTTTCTTGACAGGAACTATTTATGCTCTTTGCATGGCGGGGATAATGAACCTTCGAAACATGTGTTTACATGTTTGCATGAGAGCTTCAAAGCAAAGGATAATAAAGGATTTATGTTTGTAATTACTTATATTGTAAATTTAATGCTTTTACATTTGGAATGATATTGTATTTGGAGTAAAGTTAAAGTTTTTACATTTAGAATGATATTGTATTTGGAGTGATTTTATTCTCAAAGATGTGTGTTTTTGTCGTGTGAAAAAGAAAACTACTTTCAATATTGGTGAAGCAAATTGTGTTTTTAAACAATGTTGAATTATGAAAGGTGAATTAGTAATCTTACTCTCATTATGGATGTAAATCATGCAAAATATATGTGTATTTGTAACCAAACACTACATATCATGTTCACAGACAACTTCACTTACCACATAAGCCCATTTCTATGGCTATTGTATGTGACTGACACATTTGTCTAGTTGACAAACAATTCTACTTAAAACATTAACCCATTCTAGTAACTATTGTTTGTGACCAGACATGTAATATCATATTCATCTAAACTCTTCATCTCACAGACAAAATACATGAACAGACAATGTTTTAATCGCACACAGACGAAATATATGAATACACAGACAACAATTATTATCTATGTACAGACAAAACAAACGAACAGACAATGTTTTAATCTTGCACAGACAATATAAACAGTGACAGATGATATTTCAATTACACACAGACAAAATACGGAAACACATAGACAATTGTATGTGTCCAACACAAAACATCCAACTTCATTTTCATAACACAAAACATACATTGTAGACATTAGCAACTTCAATTACACTATCATTCTAAACACAAGAACCTTAATTTTACAATATAGCTAGTTACAAGAATAAGATATTTAGTTATCATGTATTCAAAATCTCTCATTCTTGACTTCCTCAATCCTTTTTCTGCCATCATTCGGTTTATCAAACACATGTATCGAAGGTTCATTATCCCCGCCATGCAAAGAGCATAAATAGTTTCTGTCAAGAAAATAAAAATCATTACAACTATTAAACCTGAATGTGCATCCATATATTTAGGCTTATATGTGCCGCCTAAAAACATAATAACGCTATATTTAAAGTTATATAAGCTTAAAGAACGTGCACAAGAACAGACACAATTGCATTCACTTGCATACATTTTACAACATATTTGCAAAAACGTTCAAAAATATTGTCTGTGTAGACACTTTAAAAAAGCACAAACGTATAACAACAAACAACACAGACGTCTCAGGTAAAACGCACAGACAACTAAAAATGCATAAATATATAACAACACACTACACAGACATCTCAAGAAAACCATAAAGACAACTATAAAATCCACAAACGTATAACAAGCAACACTCACGTCTCAGGTAAAACGCACAGACAACTAAAAAATGCATAAACATATAACAACACACTACACAGACGTCTCAGGAAAATCATAAAGATAACTATAAAATCCACAAACGTATAACAACAAACTACACAGACGTCTCAAGTGAAACGCACAGACAACTAAAAAATGCATAAACATATAACAACACACTACACAGACATCTCAGGAAAACCATAAAGATAACTATAAAATCCACAAACGTATAACAACAAACTACACAGACGTCTCAGGTAAAACGCACAGACAACTAAAATATGCATAGACATATAACAACACACTACACAGACATCTCAGTAAAACCATAAACTGAATTAAAGCTAAAAATCAATTATACATAGTTACATCTCATTGAAACATTTCAAGAAACACTTAATAGGCATAAAAGTGAGCTATAATGGTTGAATAAAATTTTAAATTATAACAAATCCATACTAATATTATATTGTAATAAACATTCATCAACATCACCACAACATATTTTGTATAAATAAAATTAAAAAAAGGAAAAAATATAACCCTAGATGCAAAAAAAATATGAAATAAAGTATTACCTCATGAATAATATTTGAGAGAGCAAAGTAGATTCAATTGTGACTCCTCATGTTTTTCTGTACGGATTCAGATCTGCAAAAAAGTGAGAGCTTTTGAAATGAAGAAAACAAGAAAAGAAAAAAGATGGAGAAAGGGAGAGGAGTTATTTACGAGGGAGAAGGAAGGAGGAAAAGAGGCTGAAGAATGTTGGGTGCAGGGAGGGGGAGAAAAGAAAAAAGAAAAGAGGAAAAGAGGGAGAAGGAAGTTGGGTGCAGGGAGGGAGAGAAGAAAAAAGAAAAGAGGAAGAGAAGGAGAGGGAATTTGGGCGCAGGGAGGGAGAGGAAAGAGGGGAGTGGGAGGGAAGTGGGGAGGATTAATTCAAAAGTTGGGTGGGTTAGAAAGAGGGGGTGGGGCTTTTTAAGATGTGTACACCGCCGTGTAAACCGGCGTGTACACATAGCATTTTCCGAGGGATAAAATGGCTACTATTAAATGTGATTTCAGATTTTCCGATTTGGCTAGTATTCGAACCGGATAAAATGGCTAGTATAAAATGGCTAGGAATTAATACTAGACTTAGGGTGGTTCAAGGAATAAGAACTGAACATCTTATTCCTAGTCATTTCAGATTGGGAAAAGGTGCAAATAGGCCCATGTACTAACCAAAAAAGGTCAAATAAGCCCTTATTTAGGAGGCTTTGTCCGGACGTCGCCATTTGGAGTGGTTCCCGGTGGAATTTGTTGATGAAATTTTTGGATCATCTTATTTATTAAGTCTAGTTTACTCATACCAAATTTCAACTAAAACTTCAATCGGAGAGGCATTCAAATGAATTCTTGAAAATAACTGGGCAGTTAGAAGCGCAGTTATCTTCAAGAATTCATTTGAATGCCTTCACGATTGAAGTTTTAGCTGAAATTTGGTATGAGTAAACTAGACTTGGTGAATAAGATGCTAAAAAAATTTCATCAAAAAATTCCACCGGGAACCACCCCAAATGACGACGGCCGGAAAGAACTTCCTAAATAAGGACTTATTTGACCTTTTTTGGTTAGTACATGGGCCTATTTGCACCTTTTCTCTTTCAGATTTTCCGATTTCAGATGCAAGGTGATAAAATGGCTCAAGACAAAGTTGGAATTCAAATTAAATGTAGACATCTCATACCTTCAAGGCTCTTCCTTGGGCGGTGCAATCCTCAGAAATCGGCAGGGGGAGTTCATCTGGGCTACTCGATTTGCGATTCAGGCGAGGAAAAGTGATGAAGCTGAAATAAGTGCGTTGATCAAGGTTACAAATTTTGCTTTGGCGATGGCTTATGTGGGGTTTCAGGTGGAAACCGAGGCTTCTAGCTCTATATCTCTCCTTTCAGAACGAAACAGGTAAGTGGGGTTGAATGCTGTGTTGTAAGAACCGAACCGGACCGCCCAGTCCGACCCGGAACCCGCCCATCCGGTCGTGATTCCGGTTCAGTTGGCCGACCCAGTTGCGGTCCGGGTTCAGCCAGTCTAATGGGTAAATATGGGTTTGGAGCTATTAGCGGTTTGATGAGTTACCGGACCGGATTAGGGTCCGGGTGACCGGGTTCCGGGTTGACCCGCCCGGTCTAGTTCGGGTCTTTCAGCATCCTTTATTATACAAAAGGAGGTGGAATTCTGAACAGTGTTCCCGCCCAAACACAGGTTAGCTATGGGCTGGGTCGGGTCAAAAGTGGGTCAAAATGGGTCAAAAGTATGTGGTCCAACTGAGCTGCTATTGGTCTTCAAGGCGCATCCACTGACATTTAATGCAAACGGGGCTCCATAAAATGCATTTAATGCATAGTACAAAAGGGGCTCAATTATTGATATCTTCAGGCTTTGTGTCTCAATGCACCACGCGTATCAGTACATATTGTGTGGCTCAAGACTGGCATTTAATGAATTGTACATGAAAATCTTTTTTCTATAATAAGGAATTCGAATTTTAAAAAAAAATATTTAACATCTTATAGTATTAAATGCATCGTCCTTATTACTGCATTTCAATTGAGGATCTCTCTGAAGTAGAGTAAATATATCAAATACGGAGTAACTATTAAATGCTTTGTACTTTTATACTATGCAGCATTAAATGATTTGTATCATAGGATAGCAGATAGCTCGATTAGCCATTGGTTAAAAACCTCTTACGATAAAAACCATCACTTATGCACCCACCTATAAATACTCTCAATGAGAGATTCAACACCACAATTTTGCAATGGCAGACACCTCAACTGAGTAAAAGGCAAGAGCCCACAAAACTTGAGAAGGTAACACTCTCTTATAAAAATGCTTAATACACGCATTATATATTTATTCATCAGTTTTAATTGTATCTTAACAATGAAATGTTTTTTACACAGGGGAGTTGGATCCATGCTGAAGTAAAAGACCACAAGAAGTCAAAAATAATAGAACATGGAGTGCTTGGTATAAGAAACTTTCTGATCCTTGATAACCACCGAACTGTGAGAAAACCACACCACATCCCTACCTAATCCAGCTGCGTTCATCTTCTTGCATGTATTACCACTCAAATGTTTTTTTTTTGGAAAAAAGTATTCCATAATGCATGTAATGTGAAGCCATGTTTATACATATGTAAACACAAAATATTTACGGAGTATATACGTATATATGAAAGTGTGCTTCATATATAAACTGTTTAACAAAAATAATTCAAAGGGATAAGGGTCAGATAGGGCCTCGAACTCGAAAAAAAATGTCAAATAAGGTCATATTTCGGATGCTCTGTCTGGCCGACGCCATTTGGAGTGGTTCCCGATGGAATTTTTTGATAAAAGTTTTTGAGCATCTTCCTCATTAAGTCTAGTTTACCCATACCAAATTTCAGCTAAAAACTCAACCGGGAAGGTAGTCAAATGAGTTTTTGAAGATAACTGTGAAGTTAAACAACGCCGTACATTTCGGAAAATTATTTGACTACCTTCCCGGTTGAATTTTTAGCTGAAATTTGGTATGGGTAAACTAGACTTAATGAGGAAGATGCTCAAAAAAGTTCATCAAAAAATTCCATCGGGAACCGCCCCAAATGGCGTCGGCAAGACAGAGCATCCGAAATATGACCTTATTTGACATTTTTTTTCGAGTTCGAGGCCCTATCTGACCCTTATCCCTAATTCAAATGATTGCATATCATATAAATAATACTACGTATATAATATTTATACATAAAATATTTCCTAAAAATATATAGAAGCTACATAAGTAGAAGTTTTGTTTTGACTAAGCTTTAA